CTGTATTTCAAAGCATCAACCGAATGAGTAAAGGACTTAGAGCATGCTCCGTTTCAAGGTTAGACAAAGGGTAGCGGTAGGAACAGAGAATTGCTGCACTAGATTGTAGGGCAAGGCTGTGACATGGTGTTTTCATCGCTGAAAGTATTCAAGAGTATATTAGCAAAACATAATACTAAAGCAGAATACCCTATTACTATAAAGATAACTGACCTTATCACAGAGCAGGAAGAACTAGGCAATCTTTCAGGTTGCCTTTCAGCCTTGTGCTTCTTTCTATCATTTTTATTGCAACTTTCAAAGGGTTTTCCTGGCTCCCCCCCCCCTTTTTTTTTCCTCCTCCAAATTAGAGCTATACAAAGCATTTGCTAAGAAATATAAACTTCTTGAATACACTGGAAGCTGTATGCTTAGAGAAATTGCGTAGCCTTTTTACATTCTAAAAGTGAATGTACAAGTCTTACTCCAGAGGATCAAATATAGGCAAGAAAGTATACTGAACTAGTGGAAAGTGACAAAAAAACCCAAAACCCTAAAGCAGCTGTTACACAGAATGGTATTAAAACCATAATCAGGCTGTATGTTATATATGAGATCAGCAGTATATCATGGTAGATCATGGTAGAAAAAAGCTACTTCCTAAGAAACAACTGGTATTTCTCCAGTAGTCACCTTGAGCCAGTGATGGAGACAGAGTTTACACGGGTTTTCAATAGCAAGTGTTAATGCATTCTGTCCTAGATATGAGACTAGGTAACTTTTGTTAACATAATGAGGTATCTTGTGTCTTGCTACTGAGGTTCGGCAGGATTAAACCACTACCACAGTTTAGATAGCCCAGGATTACATCTGAAAAATAGAACCTCAAATTAAATTACGATACATTGTTTCTGCATCACTGAAAACTTGCTATATTAAAATAATATGCTTAATAAGTAAGACTCATTTGCTTACAGAGAGGATGTTTTGGAGTTTTGTTAATGGCTAATTATTGGGCATGCCCGAATATGAGGAAAAAATAGGAGTCAGGAAAAAGTAGTAGAGAGAAACCCTGTCAGAGATTTAGAGTATGTGAATAAGCCATGTTTTGCTAACTAGCTATACTTTTGGCTGTGACATAAATTATACAAATGTGCCACCCTGTCTTGGGGTAGAATTCACTAACAAGGAAGAGAGAGGTTCCCAAAAAATCAAAATGTTCAAGAGATTTTTTTTTTTCCTGAGCAAACATGTTTCATCTTGGTTCTTATATTGCATCTTTTCTCCATTGTGGAAGCACCTCACAAACTTTCAAGTATTGACCTACATTCACTTCTGCCTCGCAGACTGCTGGGTCCAAGACTTCAGATTGTTTCTTTGATTTCTTTCCATCAATCCATGCACTTGCTGATTAAAATTTTTTTTTGGCAAACTAATAAATAAAATGCAAAAAAATGTTCTAAAATATTGACCACTCTGAAAGTGAGGAGGAGGTTTTCTTTGAACTACAGATTTGCATTTTCCTATTAACTCTTCCACGGAAGCAGCCATGGCCTTCCTATAATGCTCTCTGTAAGACTTTAAGGATCTCCTGCATCTTCCTCCTTCCTTTCCCCCTTTCTGTTGCTGAAATACTTTTTTCTTCATACTTGTTTGTTAAATCAGTTTAATCTTGCTGGATGATAATGTTAATACCATATCTGAGGAAGCTGTACAAAGAAATACCCAGACTGCAAACCAGGTCAAACAAAAAGAGGCATTTTTAGTGCACGTGCGTGCACACACAAAGTACCCAAAACACCAGTGAATTTAAAAACAAATTGAATATAGTCATGATGAGTTTGCCCAGAATGCTTACAGTTGTGGTGCCACAAGTAGCAGCATACAAAAAAATTGTAGAAGATGAATGACTTGTAGGCAGCAGTAGATTAAAATATACATCAAACAAGGACAGATAAAGTAAGTGAGAGTCATGTCTAGATTTCAAAAAAACAGGGTCAGGGACTCATACTGGAACCCACTGTAGTTAAACTGTTATTTCTCACTGTGCATCTAAAATGGTCTGTACCTTACCTTCTTTCATGCTGGGGATACCTGAAAAAAGATCTTTTCTGTCAAAACCAGATCCACCTTTGTATGAAACAAAACAGTAATATTTTTATATTTATCAATGGGAGAGTTTCTAAAGCCCAGTCACACTTGAGGAAGAACTTACCCATAGCTCTGTACACAGACTGACTAGAGGAGGAGCAGGGAATTGGTGTCAGAGTAATTTTAAAGCACATGCAGGACTAGTTGTAGGTCTGACATACAGTTTTAGGAAATATAAATGAAACCTGAAAGAGGGAACATATCTACAATGGGACTGGCTGCAAGGAGTGGGGTTTGAGCACTCAAAAACAAGGTCATAGGCTTTTTTTAACTACTCAGGCCCTATTTACACAAATGACCACTTTTCATTTTTATGGAGTTTGTTTTCCAAATGCAGGCAACTACCTTAAAAATCAAACAAGACATTTCAGAGCAATAAATAAAGCTTATTCTATGTTATAGAGGGTCAATTCTAGGTGCTGCGTAGCTACACTAAATGTAATAGAGAGGGTCCTTTACAGGTTTTAGATTATTACTTCCTCCAAGAAGGAGTGCTCAATGTGAGCATATTTTATTAGCACTTACTGAAATATCGTACCATTGGGAAAGTGGAGTGACCAAGGGGGAACATTTTGTTATCGGACAGTACTGCATCAGTCATGTTGAGATGACTGCTCCAGGCACAAATAAGAAATGCCAAAGTCCCCTGCACCATAAACTTAATCTAATAAACCTATCACTGTGTTTACATACTAAATGCTCTAAATAAATTCTAGTCAGACTGTTGTTTTCCAGCGCGGGAGTACCCGTACCTGGGTGTCATGAGCTGCATTCATAATACATCTCTCTTCTGTGCAAAAGCACCCTCTGCTGGACCAGCTTGAGACGTAAGCAATACATAAAATTACCAGATAAATTTTTTCTTTTTTTTTTCCCCCCTCTCCATAAAAAAAGAAATAAATAGATGAAGAAATTTTCTGTCACCTCTCACTTCTACAGGGGCCTCATCTCCTGACAGATGCAATAGAAATAGCAGAACTGGTCAGCTTTTCTAAAATGTGGTATGCTGTGATGAAGATGTACCTTCTCTGCCACAGGCAACTGTATGTAAGCTATCTCATCTACACACATAGCACAGAGAGGGGACAGCACTTCCATGAGCAGAATTCAACGAGACTGCCAGAGGGCTTAGAGGAACAGAAGGCCCTTTCTCAAACTTTCTCAGGACCCCCAAGTTTCACGCTATTTTCCAATGCTCCACTGCATGCCAAGGAGATTCTGATTAGGCCTAGGGAGATGGCATTCCCCAAGAAACAACTTGTATTACCAGTCTCAGACTGCTCCTTCCATCTTCATGGAGACTATCCTACAAATTCTTAGGAATGTCTAAGCAGGGTGAGATGTCAGGAAGTTGGAGAAAAAAAAATGTGTCCTGGTGAAATCACCATGCTATTTTGCCAGCCACCTTAAAAATCACTCAGCATCAGAAGAGATCTAAAGTAAAAGTAAAAATGAGTTATTTTTCCTAAATGTGAGGTTAAAGAATCAGTTACTTGGTTTAGAGAGACAGAGAGACCTAAAAATTAATCAGTAACACTATCCTCCCCATTCTGGTTCGGCCCAGTCTCCCTTTCACCTAACAGGCTCTGAAGCCAAACTGCTTCTCTGGTTAAGTCTGACAGGTCCCCAGTGACTATCTG